ATAGTAATCTTATTGAGTCCTCAATAATCTACACACATTCGCAATGATCCATCTTTTTTCTTCACAAATAAGATAGGAACTCATGCAGGAGATTTTGAATGGCATATGAAATTCTGAGTCAAATTCTCATCAATGTACTTCTTGAATTTAATCAACTCATTTTGTGATAAATTATAGATTGGACCAAATCGAGGGTGAATTCTTTCTTTAAGATCGATTGAACAATCATATAGATGATGCTCCAAGAAAATATCTGCATTCTTTTTTTCAAAAAAATCTTAAAAATCTTGATAGTTACTTGAAATTTTACTTAAAATCTTTCCATCATTTAAAATAGGTGTGGCATAAATAACAAAAGATGGTTCTTCTTTAACAGTATGTAAAAAAGCTTTTCTACCTACAAGTACATATTTGACTACACTATACTCATGACTTTCTACTAGATTAGAAAAACTCTTAATGATGTTTGAAAAAAATTCAAGTTTATGAAAAATCCAATCTATTACAAGATTATATTTTTTTAGCTATGATAAACCTAAAATGATTGGATTAGACGGAGATCTAATTATATTAAAAATTATGCAACTATTATGACTATTTATTACTACATCTTTAAGAAGTGTTTCATGAATAATATCTCCAAAAGATAAAAAATGACTATCTATGACTTTTACGTGTATGAATTTAATTTTTCATACTAACTGCATATTATAACTTTTAATAAATTCTTTATCTAAAAAACAAGCTGAGGCTCTTGAATCTATTAAGACAGAGGCTTTGTCATTATGAGATCCTAAATACACATCTATTGTTCAATAAGGAGAGGGTTTTGAGGAGAGAATAGGACCTCCATTAGGAATTGTATAAGATTTCAACTGCATGGTCCCTATTGTAGTTGGATAAATTTGTTTTTCAACATGTTTTCATCTTTGACAATAGTACTCCTCATTTTATAGTTACATTGTTTCTTTGGATAATATTAAGCAGTATGCTTAGCTTCTCTACAATATAAATATAGTCTTTTTTGACAACGATAAGACTTATCTTGTTTTATAAGAGGTTTAAAACATACTGCATCAATTTATATGTCTTCTACTTTCAAATGTTTAGATTGAAAAGTTGTCGGTGTTGTCATTGAATTGTAATAACGTTGAGGTTTCCTAGTATAATTCTTAGATCAAAACTCAAAAAGTCAATTATCACATTTCACAATAATTTCAATTTCTTGACTTAATGTTTGAAGATCAGGTAAATTGAATATCAATTTCTTTACGTCATATTGTAATCCATAGAAAAATTGGCTGATGAATGATGAATCATTCCACTTGATATTTGTCACTTATTAACAAAATTGTGAAGCATATAATATCATTGATTGATTGTCTTATCACAAGATATAAATCTTGTTGGTTGCAATATAGATTGCATCATATTCTCTATACATAGATCAAAACTCTGCTAAGAATGCTTCCAAATTATCCAATATGAGATCATGTCATTCAAGAAATGATAAAAATTATGATAAAGTAGAACCTAAAAGTAGTGTTTCAAACAACGTGACTTGTGATCCTTAAATTGAATAACTTTGTGATTGTAGTTCAATCACTAGATGTACCTAATTGATGAATCCGCAAAACTTAGATCTTGTACCATTAAACTTTTCAAGCAATCCAATTTTTGGTTTCTTAAAACTTGAACAATGTTTCATTGTAGGAGTAGTAGTATGGCTTGAAGTAGATATTGAAGCAACTTGAATCATTTCTATATCTTCATTGCCTGATAATCTTGTTGTTTTTTGTGGTGGTAGATTGAGTTCATGTATTATAAGCATTAAATCTCTCATTTGCTCTTGCATTTGAGCCTTTGCATTCTTCATTTCAGCAAGCTCTACCATATTAGCATAATAAAAAAAATTAAAAATTAAAAAATTAAAAATAAAATATCTATTTACTTTGAATATAATATTAAAGAATCAAAAATAAAAACTTCTAAAAATAATATTAATTTAGAAGAAGGTAATCCACAACTTCTAATACGCTTATGTCTTATCAAGAGAAAGAGGTAATCCACTCCTAATCAAGAAAAGACAAAGCTTTGATATTATGTGTGTACTCTTGTCAATCTGTCAAGAATACAAATTGGAAGAAGATACATAAGCTTGTAGAATTTGTGTCAAAAAAAAAGTGAGAAAATAGAAGAAAGTATATATATTCAAAGAAAAACTTGAATGGCTATTGCCAAAGACTAGAAAATATAAGACTCTTAAAACTAAATTAAAAGCAAGAAAGGAGTTGGCAAGAGTGAGAAAGGCCTCACTTGTGCCTCTATATATACTACTTAACTAAGAACTATGTGGTGATATGCTATAAGGCCTCTAATACGCATCTAACTTGTAAGAGATATGTCTAATTTGCAAGGCAAGTTTCTTAGGTGTGTGCCATATATCCAACTTATACTACAAGTGGTCGACATGTCGACACGTGATCTCTTTATTGGCCAAGTTTTTAACATATCAATCACCTATAGATATTTATAAAAGTAAAACAACATCTATGAAGCTTCTAAGAAGCTTTCTATAAGATATTATCATATTTATCTATTTTAACTTACTTTTATTTATTTTTATTATCTAGATAATTATCAAGGTAAATATGTATGTCCGTGATACATTATAAGTCCAACAATAAACGAGAGATGCAATAAGGTAGAAAGATACCTAACGATCAAGAAAAGTACTTAACAAGCAGTTGAAAAATAGCACAATATATAATAGATCTTGCATAGTAGTACCACAAATCAAATTAATGTTAGATCAAAGGTTATGTAATTCAAATTGAGTTGTTAACTAGTCTTTGTCTTTTTTTTTATCATTGTGTGTATTGATTCTACTCTTACAAGAATGTGTCTCGTACTTGCCAATAACCTCTAAATCTTGAATAACAAAAATCTATTTTTTTATGTGATTTTTATTTTAAATTATTATTTACTTCTACTTTAAACTATTCATGATATTAATTTTTTTATTCTAGACACTTTTATCTTCTTTATGGCCTTATAAAGTAAATTAAAGCTCATTTATTAAAAAGACAACATTAGCTCTTATTAACTTTTCTATCCTCTTGATCTTTATTTTTATTATTAACTTGAATTTACTATTATATATTAAATTAAGATATTTTGTAATATATTTTTTTTCTTCTCTCTTTTATTTATTAGCCGTGTTATAACTTAATATCGAGTTTTCAAGATTGTTTATTAAGGAAGTAGGTGAGACAAAACAATCTTTTTCAATTGCTTTGACACTGTCACTACTTTCATCAAAGAGAGCAATTTCATAAAGTATAGGTATATGTAGAAGAAAAAAAGTAAAAATTATTAGGCAAGACAAGCAACTATAGTTGAGGCTGGATAAGGCTCTATTTTTTGACATTTAATCTTGTTTAAGACTAGAATAAAATTAATTAGTGAGTATTATCTCAAAGACAAATGAAATATTAATAGAGACATTTATTAAATTTGCCTAAAAATGTGTATGTGTCATAGACAACCATCATTGTGTTAGAATCCTAGCACTTACTATATCTACAAAATGGTTGTATTTTGTCAATTCTTGAAGTAGTCCTATACATCACATTGTAAATAATTTGGAATCCACATCAAATCAAGATCTTTTTGTAAAAAGAAAAATTTATATCCATCACTTATAAAAATCAATTCTAATTATATTATATATTAAAATTTTAAAATATGGACTTCATTTTGGATATTTAAATATTATAAATAGATCATTATATCCTAATATATTATTTTTAGAATATTTTTATTAAATTAAAAGATATATATTTGTCCAACTACTTTGGCAATGATGTCAAGTACACACATCTATTCATACAAAATGTTATTAAAGATGTAAAGTTGCCCAACTCTTCTTTTAATGATATTAAATTCATATACCTACTTATTTCTAATGTTGTCAAGAATATAAGATGCCTAATTATTTTGACAATAATATCAAGTTTTTAAACCCACATATATCATATATTGTAAAATATCTAAGGTTGAATTAAAAAAAAAAACTAATGGATGAAGTTTGTCATCTACTCCCATTTGTAATAATATTCCACCCAAAGTAAAGTCAAATGCGAGTATTTCAAAAAATATTTGCTTTAAAAGTTGATGCAATATAAAATTACTGTAGGAATAAAAGTTGTCACAAAGCTTCAAGTATTCTTTTATCTTCTTTATTCTACTTTAAAAAATATATGTATGTGAAACATATAAGTAGAGATACAACTTTTACAAAATTCTTAATAAAAATCTAATAGTAATTGATAAAATTCAAATAACATTAGATGTTTGTTAATATTCTTAAAATCTTTTAATTCCTAATAATCAAAACTTTCTTGAGATCCATTATAAGGCCATGATTTGAAATAATGTACCCTAAGAAGTCAACTTGAGTAGTGTGAAATACACACATTTCTATCTTGGCATACAGACTTGCATCTCTAAATTTGTGTAATATGCAACAAACTTAAAGTTCATTCTCTTTTGTATTCTTAAACTAGATTAAAATGTCATGTAGATAATAAACAATAAAACCATCTAAAAAATCTTAAAAGATACTATTCATTAGATGGCAAAAATCACCTAGTGCATTTGGGAGTCTATTGTATTCAAAATTCTCATACTTGGTTCAAAATGTATATAAAATAAAGACATACACACACAAGAAATGAAATATTAAACCACAACAAAAACAATAATAATAATAATAATAATAAAAGCCCAAGAAGTGTTCAGATCCAGTTTGGATTATTTTGGGACGTAACCTCAGAGAAAGGAACGGTTACAGGTCCCTTAACAGCGCTTCGACACGTCAGTCACGGCCATGGGTTCACATTCCACGTAAGCGCGGTAGAGGGATGCGAAGTATCGGCGGCAGCGAGAGGTGTACGATGAAGGGGGTTGGGGGTAGAGGGAGGGTGAGGGACCCGCAGCCTTATCCCAAAGTCCAGCCCAGTCCAGCCCAGTCCAGTCTAACCCAGCCCAGCGAGGAGGAGGAAGGGGCTCCCGTAACAGGATCAGCAATCGCACTCCCCTTCACTGCGCTTCCCTTTCTTCGCATGCTCGCATCATCGCCAGTGTCTTCTCCGTCAGGTACTGAGTCTCCCCGTCTTCGCATTTCGTATCATGCTGCTGTGGTGGTCACGAATTTCTTCATTACAGTCTGTCACCGTTTATGGGGTTGCATTGGCCCATTTATGGGGTTGGTTGTTAGCTTAACAGTATCGGAGTTTTGAGGATTGAGTTTGAGTCTGCAAGGTGATGGTGTTTTGCGCGCGTTGAACTTGGAAGGTGGTTTCAATGGTGGTGGTGTTGGTAGAGTTTGAATATGGGTTTGTGATTTGTTTTGTTTTATTTTTTTGTTTTTGCTGATGAGGGTGTGGGTGATGATCGGTGCGTGAAGTTTAGGTTGCCGGAGTCCTGTGAAGGTGATTGAGTAACCTGCAGCAAGATGGCCATGGCGAACGCAGTCGCGAGGAGTAGCTTGACCTCGTTGAGGAGTAGCACTGCTTTCGGAGCCGGAGTGCAGGGTCTGCGCGCTGCCAACCAGAGGGTATCGAATGTGAACTTTGTTGCCCTTCCTCGCTGCTCTGCGAAACTGTCGACCTCTTCGGGTGGCCTCGCTCAGCAGGTTGCCGTTGGTGCCAACACTCTCGCCGGTCAGCGCGCTCACTCATCTGTTCTGTCATGCCAAAATTCATCGCTGAATCATTTCTCATGCGTTTTGTAATCAACTTTAGGAACAAGGTGAACATGAATGAACACTGCAAATTTAGATTGGGGAAGCTTATGAGATCAATTACGTTGCCCTTACGACCATCTTTGTCGATCTGCTGTGAATCTCGTATGTACGACAGGCGCTATGTTCGCGGCAATGGCTACGTCGGAGTCGGCCATGGCATCCCAGCAAATCATGGCGTTGGCCGAAGGTGACAACAGGGTAGTTGCCCTTCTCATTCCATTGATCCCTGCAATTGGATGGGTGTTGTTCAACATTTTGCAGCCAGCCTTGAACCAGGTGGACAAGATGAGGGGCGCCAAGGCGTTGGTTGCTGGTGCCGGCCTCGGAGCCGCAGCGACTCTGATGGCAGCTCCCCATGCGGATGCAGCCCAAGAATTCGCCCAGATTGCAGACTCTGATGCCAGGGGTTTGATCATCGTTGGCCTCCTTCTGCCCGCCATCGGGTGGGTGCTGTTCAACATCTTGCGGCCCGCTTTGAACCAGATCGAGAAGATGCAGAACCAGGGCAACTCAGGAGCCGGAACTCGCAAGAGGGGGATCATTGGAGCCCTTGGGCTTGGGGGGGCTTCCATGTTGTTGACCCCTCACGCTGACGCTGCTCAGGAAATCGCATCTCTCGCCGATTCTGATTCTCGAGGTCTCATTATCATCGGCCTTCTTCTCCCCGCCATTGGGTGGGTCCTGTTCAACATCTTGAGGCCCGCCTTGAACCAGGTGAACAAGATGATCGAAGGCAATGACTCCAGTCCCCCGACCAAGGGCGGGAAGAAAATCCGCGGCATCGTTGGTCTCACGGGTCTCACTGCAGCTGCCACCTCCCTGTTGGCTGCTCCCGAGGCTGATGCTCAGGTTCAGGAATTCGCACAGCTCGGCGCGGACACCAGACCTCTGATCCTGCTCTTCATTCTGGCGCCCGCGATCGGATGGGTGTTGTTCAACATCTTGAAGCCTGCGTTGAACCAAGTGAACAAGATGGTTGAAGGCAACAGCGGCCAGGCTCCTAGCAAGGGAAACAAGAGACGTTAAGTGTTTGCATTCTGCAGTCGCAGCATGTCTTCACAGGATGTAGAGGCTTTTTATTTTTTTCCATGCTGAGCTTTGGGGATGGTGCTAAGGTCATGGGTCGGGATTTTCATGGCAAATTGGCTGTAGACACAACAGTTCCTAGATTACTTCTTCCGTGAACTTTAGGGTTTGCGGTGACTGGAGACCAGGGTGGTTCGTAACGCTGTGTACATGGTGTCAATTCGTCGAATTTATTGTACGTCGCTGGCTAGAGCAATTCTTATCTGTTGAACGGAGGGGATCTTATTTTGCTCAGCCGTGTGTGTGTTCTACAATGCGTGCCAATTCTCTTCATGAAATGTAGTATGTGATAGCAACTTTTTCTGGGCATCTTAAGCTTCTGGGCGCTACTCTTCCTGTTTTGTGTCTTCATGAATGTAGAACTCCTGACATGTTTCTCCGAACTGCTTTGGCACACCTTTTTTTCAACTTGCATGATTGACAGATGGATCACTTCATCTCAAAACCGGTATCAATTGCGAACCTTTCAGTCTGCAATCGCATAATAGACAGGACCTATGGGACTCAGTTTAGAGTTGCATTGTGATGGTACTTTTCATAAAAGAGCGAGAGATTGAATTGATGTTTAGCACCAGTTTCATGCTGGAAACAATTCTGAAGTGTTTATCCCAGCAAAGTGGATGAACTGAGCTTGGTTTAGTTTAGTTGTCACAATCGGAAAATTGTCAATCAAAAAAATAACTTTTCAACTTTCTTCGTGAATGGTATCTCATTGGCATGCGAATGTAAATTAAAAAGTAAATCTGGAAAACTGGCTTTGGTCAAAGTAATTGCTAAAGATTCAATGTCGCTCTACTCAATAAAAAAAACAATCAAGTTTTCTATAGCAAGAGATAAAAAAATTATATATATATATATATATATATATATAAAAATGTACACAGCTTTAAATGTGTATTGATGATGTTCAAAACACTGTTCTATAAGTGATATGTTTTTGCAACTTTCTCCTTGATGGCTTCTTTGTTTACAATGTGTACCTCTGTTCATAGATTTGGATGACCAGAGTATTGTTAATATGAAAACTTTCATGAATCATTTCAAAACATTTCACCTGGTGTAAATTCATTACTTGTAAATGCAACATTTTTAGATATACGTGATGTTGTGATCAGAATAGAAATACTGTGGAAATAGCCAACTTAATACAATGTGCTCTTGAAGAGATTTAAAAAAATAATGTGTGATAATGATCATGAGTTTAACTCATTGTTCATATGTATGTCATTTTGTTAAGATTTCTAGATGCTATCTTTCACAATTACTCATGCTGTAAATGTTCCTTTAAAAATGGTTATTCTCATTGCCATGGATGAAGATCAATTCTTGCTTCACTTGTTTTCCAACATGTCTCAATGTTCTTATTGTCCTAGAATGTATGTTTTGTCTAATTTTAAATTATGGATGGAATTTATTGTTAACCAAAGAATGAGTGATTAAATTATTATTATTATTATTATTATATCTTTAATGCCTTCTGTAAATTTCACCAAAACATTATCTATTTGTTTATAAAGTTCATTTCATTACTCATTTATGAAGAATACAAGTTTAATTACTGTTGAGTATTTTGACCTCTAATCAATGCTTTATCCTTAGCTTATAACATAACCATGCATTTAAGCACATTCAAAGTAATAGAACAATCACCCAGAATATCATCTTCTGGTAAAAACAGTAACAACAGTAAAAATTATTTACTTTGAAAAACTGCAACAACAGTAAAAAATATTATTTTGAAAAATGTGTATTGTTTATCAATTTATAAATTAATACTTATTTCATCTTAAATTTTCCACATTGATACTTTATGCAATATACTTATTTTTTGATAGTACCATAATTATAACATGCATAATACTTTAAAAATGATGTAAATTATTTTGAATAGATTTTATTTTATTTATTTACGACAGAAAAAATGGTTATGACAGTCTAAACTTAAAGTAAATAAATACATAAATAAGAACACCAATAATTTCTTTATTTCTTTATTTTTTTTTAAATCTAACCGGAATGCCTCAAATTTATGTATACATAGAGAGAGAAATATTATTGCTCCAACTATTATAGTTTTAGCTAAATACCTTTTATTTCTGCTTATTTTTTATTTTAATTAAAATATAAATATGATTGGTGCTAATATATATATATATATATATATATATATATAATTTCAAATAAACCTTAATACTATTTTTAAAATTAAAAAATTATATCAAAATCATAGATATGTTTAGATTGTATTTTTAATTCAATATTTATAAAAGGTACGGATGAAAATACTAATAATTTTCATACATAGTATTTGTTTTATGGTTTTTTTCATAAATATTTTATTTTTATATTCACATAAATAACATAAAAAAAATATTGATATAATTTTTTGATCTTGTAAGTGTAATGACTTCATATACATTAGAATAGACATATACATTAGATATTTTTATGTATATTTGTGTTAAAATACATTAAAATTTACTTTGTAATGTTTATTTTTAAATTACAAACTCCAGAGATTAATATAATTTTTTTTTGTTGGTGACTTTTCTATTTGAATAGTTTGCAAACACATCAAAATTATATATAAGAAAATGAGTGAAAATCTTTAAATATATATATATATATATATATATATATATCCAAGATATAATGAAGTAACTTCTTTTATATTAATCCTTGTAGATAAATCTCTTCTTTTATATTAATATATTACATTTATATTAATCCTTTCAGATAAATATCTTCTTTTGTCTTTTATTGAATTTATTATTTTTGTGAATAATTGAAATTAATCTGAAATGACCACATCCATTGAGGAAAATTCTTTGGCATTTATATTACTCTAAAATTCCTTGTTGAGCATTAAAGCTTCAATTCTAGAAGAAATATAATTTAAACCTTAAATTTTTAAAATATATAAATAGATTACAAAAAACAAACAAAGAAACAAACAAAAAAATATCTTTGTATTTTTAATTTACATCATATTCTTAATGAATATATAATTAACTTTAAATAGTTAAAATTAAATACATTATCTTGGTAGGTTTAATAATTAAATAAATTATCTTTAGAAAGGTAGGTATTTTTAAAAATTTTATTTTCTTTAATATTTTTGTGTTTAATTTGATGCCATCATTTATTTATAATATAGTTTAACACATGTGTTATTTAAATTTTAGTTTAGTTTAGTTTAGTTTTTATTTTTATCTTCATACTAATTTAATGTTGTCTTTGTTATTGTAATTATTTTTATTACATCACAAGAAAATGGCATTAAAATATTTTACGATATTATAATTTAAAAATCATATTAAAATTTTATGTTTTTCTATCATATAGAGAATTCCTAAAAGAATGCTAGATTTTAATGGTATAATATAAATTTGAATGTAATAATCATAAAATTATAATTATCTTTTATTTTTATGGTTAATTTTGTTTTGAATATTATAAGAATCCAATTTTGAATAATTAATATAATTGTATTTTAATTATGCCAATCTTTTAATTAAAAAACTTGGTATATTTAATGGGGAATGTTTTTTTTTAATTATTTTTACTGGCAACATTACGATTTAAGCAAATCTGAATTTATATATATATATATGTAATAAATCATTAATTTAAGTCTTAATTTTCCACTCAATAAAGTAAAAAAATTTAGTTGTGTTTTTTTTTTTTTTTTTTTTTTTTTAATTTCATGTTTATAAATACTACTTAAATCTCATGGTTGATTTTTTTTTGTAAAAGCATGTTTTTTTAAAAGTATTTTTTATAGCATACATGTTATTATCATAAAAAATTACAATTTTGATACGTTTGAGATGTAAGATAATTCCTTCCTACTTCAATTTTTCTTCTTCTTCTTCAACACATTACAATACTACAAATAATAATAATAAAAAAAATCATGTAGATTTCTAAGGAAAAATTGTAAAATCTTGGGCATAGAGAGGATAATTTGAACAAATTATTTTTTGTCTATCTAATGTATTTTTTGTATACTGCATTAAAAAATAGAAAATACTCTGATATTTTTTTTATCATACTTATTTTATTTTATACCACTAGTTGCAAAAATAAGGAATTAAATATAATACACTAAATGATCTATGGATGCTAGTAAATTTCTAAAAGCTTGTAATCTTTTACTCTCATATGTAAAAGTTAAACTTCATGTGGAATTGTCTCTCCATGCTTTACAGCATAAACACAAAGACAAAAGAAAATGTCACACCTTTGTTGACACTTGTGCATTTCCCTGCAACTGTTTCAGTCGAAAAATGGGTCGGTGATAGGTGCCTGGAATCCCAGTGTCCATAATCCACCCCAAATCCTAAATCCCAGGATCCCACCACCCGGAATCACCAACACCAACAACAGATTATTCCTTATCCCAGAATCATGCACAAAGCCCTAATTCCTAATTGCAGCGAGGGAGGGAGTGGTGAGGGGATGAGGAATGAGTCCACATCCAGGTGTGTGTGTTGCACCACACCGCCGTCCTTTCGTGGCTCCGAGCAATGCCATGTATTTGCATGCATACAACACACCAATGAATGAATGCATGAGTGCAGCTGGGTGGAAGGAGCATGGCACTGCTGTCGATGGAACCCAGTCCAGTCCAGTCCAGTCCATTCCGAAGTACAATGAAATGCTCACATCCACTTGGGTATTCCTCTTTCTATTCGTAGACGAGGAGAAAATATAAAATTTTACCCGCTCCTGTGTCGGTGAGAGGGAGGGCGACGCTTTCGAAGTGGCAGTTGTCGATGATCGGTCCAATCCTGTCCAGTCCATTAAGTGAATACGCCTCACATCCTAAATCGGGAAGGGAAAGGAGGATGTAATCGGAAAGAGCGCTAGAACAGAAGAAGCAGAAGCAGCAGCAGAAGAGGGGGATGATGAGGATGGTGATGATGGCTGCTATTAGCCGATCCGGATGCAGGGCTGCTTTGCTTGCCTACACCACGTTGGCAACAGATAAAGGGATAGATAGATAGATAGAATGGTAAAGCTGCTGCCCCGCTGGTCTTTATCCGAAAAGGTCCCACACTTAAGGATACGGCATTCGGCCATCCATCCATCCTTCCTTCAGTTCGTAAAGGGGACGATGGATCTCACGAAACCCAACCCAGCCCAGCATAGCCTGGTCAATCCATCCGGATATAGGCCCAAGGTCTTCTTCGATGTAGGAAGCTCACCTGCAACAGGCAAACAGCAGAAGCAGCTTCACATTCATAGCCCCCACACAAAGGAAGGAAGGAAAGAAGGAATTCCCTAGTTTGTCGGTCTGTGTGTGTGTCTGTCGATGATGCTTCGTTCCCAGTTGCAACCAGGAAGCCCCCGTTTCTCCCTGCCCCTGCGCTGCCCACTGCCGCCACTGACCCAGCCAGCGATCTAGCTGTCTCTTAAGGAACATCATTGGGTTGGGATACTTCCAGATATATGTTATATGTGCATTCAAGGGTTGATGATGATGCTGATGATGCATGAGGGGCTGTTCACGGTGAGGGGAAAAGTGCCCCATTTGGGACTCACTCATTTCTTTTTGTTTGTTTGTTTTCCCTTTTAGCGTTGAGGGTTATGGCAAGAAGATGAGGAAGTAATTTTATTTATTTGTTTATTTATCCCCCCCCCCCCCTTTTTTTTTTCTTCTTCTTCTTCGTCTGGTCGGGTGTTGGTGGTGAAGCTGATCGATAGGTTTTGTGGGGCTGCGAAGATTTTTTGCTGGAATGGGTGCGTAAGCTTCAGTCTGGAATCGGAAGGGTTGAAGGAGCGAACATTGGGCGTCAGGGTAGTAGTGTGTGTAGTTGAGCGCCCTGGGGTTTGGTTATTGTTCGATGCCGAGATTTGGTTTGGTTATGGTGGAGTGGAGGCACGGTTTGTTTTTTATTGCGTTGCCTGCAGGTTGTTGGATGAGAGTTGTGGCGTAGAAGACGATGGAAGTGGGATTTTGGTGGAGGAAGTCATGTGGAGGTTTGTGAGAGTAGGGATAGAAGGAGAATCATGCGCTTGTGTTAGAGGGTTTGGATTTGATGGAGCAGCTCGTGGACATGGGATTTCCGCACGATTTGGCAGCGAAGGTATTGCACCGATCGGGTCAGTTTGTCCCTGTTTTTCAGCTGTCAGCGCTGCAAGGTGGTCGATCACTCGGCTCTCTTCCGGTCTCAAGCTTACGATGGTGAATGCCTGTTCTGTTTGTATACCTCATTCTCTTAGTATGGCTTTCGACTTGCAGGCATTAGCAGCGACGGGAGGAAAGTCCACTTTAACTGCAACAGAGTGGATTCTGGGTCAAATGGAATCTAGAAACTGTTCCATTCTTAAATCTCATCATGTGCAGGTAGAGCTTCGTCTCGATTTTCTGCATTCAGAGTTGTGGACCAATGTTTCACTATTCTAGTTTGGTATTTGGCAGAGCTAGATTGGCGCAAAATGCGCGGCACCACAAGTAATACAGACCACTTCTCCAATCGAATTTCAGGTTGTTCTGTCTGTGAGTTGTTCAGAATCTTTCTTGGGGTACGCCGAAGTTGATTGCCGTTCGCACTCGTTATGCTCTTGTCAACATCGGGGTTTCGCAGACTTGTACTTCAAAACATGTTGTTATCTTCATCCCCTAGAGGCGTTGTCGTATCATGCTGTGGACAATACTGCAAACCCAGCTTTGAACGAGCTGTTGTACGTGAATATTGTGTAGATGCAGGGGGCGTGTCGAACAATTTTTTGGATCAAGTTCTGGCAAGAGAGGGGTTCACCATCAGCCAGGGACAGGTAGTTCAACTTTTGTTGTGCAGTCTGAAGAAGAAAGCAATGTGCATTGGAAGACGAGACCTTCCTCAAGCGCTTCTCCATCCCCTGGTGTCAATGGTGCGCCTGATTTTGATCGGAAAAGATATATGACAGCCCCATCAACTGAAAAAGACAAAGACCTAAACCTGTCCATGTTCCGGATAGATGGTCAGGCAGTTGGCAACCAGGTAATTGATGCTTACATTAGGAATATCGCATGTTGGATGTGCTGTTTTTTCGGGTTGGCGGTTTGATTGATCTGGATTGGCTCATGCCTAGTGCTCTGGTGCACCAGGGTAACATAGGATTTTCTGGCTTCGCACCTCTCTCCATGGGTAAGCCTCGACCGTTGGACGTCAATAGTGAAGCTGTGGCGTCGACGAGTGGGAAAAGCTCAGCTCATCCTCGTCCGCCAATTCAGGAACCCTCAAACAAAAGACTCAAACCGAGTGAGCCTAGGGAGCAGCAGGAGGAGACACTAGCACCGGTTTTACCTCGGTCTCAGTTTGCTCCTGCACGCACGTATGGAACAAAAGCTTTGGTCGGGAGTGGGAAAAGTTTGGAACCTCTCGCTGAGAGGATGCGACCTGCGTCAGTGGATCTTGTTGTTGGCCAGGACCATTTGCTGGGGCCGCGTTGCATGCTGCGCAATTTAATCGATGCCAATTCTCTCTCGTCTATTATCTTCTGGGGACCTCCAGGCACTGGCAAGACATCTCTTGTGCAAACCATCGCTCGCGCCGTATCCTACAGATTTGTTGCACTCTCAGCAGTGTCCAGTGGTTTGAAGGAAGTGCGAGAAACTTTGGAGGAGGCTAAGAGGCTACAAAAATTTGGGGAACGAACTCTTCTGCTCCTTGACGAAATACACAGGTTCGGCTGGAGTTCTGATGTAGCCCTAGTCTGAGTTTTATCTATATTCTTAAGACACGTCACAATTACAGATACGTACCTCTGGATGTATAGATTAAGAGTTAACTTTACTGGTACTTCCTTGGATTACCAGTGTACTTAGTGAATTACAATGTTCTCGCTACAGCGCTCTTTCAGAGATTTTATCCATCACTAAACGTTTAATGACACCAATTCTCGCAAGTGGTGGATTGCCAGTAAAGAGGAGTATCAGTGTTGCAATCACAATAGTTTTTATTTCTCTTGAAGCGTATTAGTGCATTCCTAATTTGGTGAGTCTTATTTGTCTCAGGTTTAACAAAGCTCAGCTGGATGTGTTCCTTCCTTGTGTGGAGGCTGGGCATATAGTGTTAATTGGAGCGACCACGGAGAACCCCTCGTTTGAGATCAATGCTGCGCTGCTGTCTCGTTGTAAAGTGCTTACCTTAAACAAATTGCAACCTGATCATATACGAAGTTTGCTGGATAGGGCGATATCTGACAAAGAAAAGGGCCTTATGGTGTCTTTAGCTGGTAGTGCCGCTGAAGATGTGATCAAGGTCGAACAGGATGCTCTGGAGTTTCTAGCAGACGCTGCTGATGGAGATGCTCGTGTTGCCTTGAACACATTGGAATTAGCTGGATTGGCTGCTTTTGCATCTTGGGAAAGCACCCCCCGAAGACCTTGTTCAGCCGATAAAGCCTCAACTATACTTGCGGATGCCAATGCGAAAGTGGATCGGGAGAAGGATAGACAAGCAGAAGATACAAAACAAGAGGCTTCGTCATCTTTGATGATGGTCCCAGCTACAAACGCCAAGCTGGGTATGTTAGGAACTAGTTTTGGAATGAAAAGAATTGAAATCCTGAAGGAAAGTCTAAAGAAAGACAACCCTTCTGCTGATGACTACACAAAACCATTCAAGCGATTTGTTGGCGGAAAGGAAGTGGTGAAAGGATTCAAAGAGATCAAAGAACCATCACCGAGTGCAGAAGCAGATGGGGATTCTGGGGGCTATTTGTATGATGTGGGATCTAAGGAGATGTTCGAAAGGGCTGGCAGCACCGATAGAACAGAAAGAATAGGAGACACGGCTGGTGAAGTTGGAGGAATCGGTGGAGTTGGTGTCGAGGTTAAAACGGACAGGAGAAACATAGTGGTGTCTCTACAGCAGGCAATTTCTCAAGCTCTCTTGATGTGCACATCTCTAATCTTTCTTGTTTATTGCGACCTAAGCTTATGATGCGTATCTTGAACACCTCATTTCACTCTTAATATCCATTTTTCTCTGGACACGAGGGGTGGGTGGGAACTGTGGTAGAGGGTACCTTACCTTCCATCTGAGCAGGAAGTCCCTGAAACGGGCTGTATGATTGCGCCTGAACGATTTTTTCTTGCGATTCTGTCCCATCTCATATATGCCGCGATCCATTTAACGCCTACTCTTTTTCAGGTGCAAGAGGCTATTCAACGTTCTTATTTTTTGTTCGATAAATCAGGAGAAGAGCACTACAATATTGTTAGTGCCCTTATTAAGTCAATGAGAGGTGGAGATCCTGATGCAGCAATTTACTGGCTTGCTCGAATGTTGGAAGGAGGGGAGGGGCCCCTGTACATAGCACGCAGATTGATCCGTTTTGCAAGTGAGGATGTTGGTCTGAGTGATCCTCAGGCACTCGTTTTAGCAGTTGCTTGCTACCAAGCCTGCCATTTTATAGGCATGCCGGAATGCAACGTCAATTTGGCACAGTGCGTGACTTATCTCACACTTGCACCAAAATCGGTCGTGGTCTACCATGCTGTAGAGGCTGCTCAGCGACTGGTGAAAGGAGCCAAGAAAAATGAGCCTGTGCCTATGCATTTGAGAAATGCTCCCACGCAGCTCATGAAGGATCACAGCTACGATCGTCAAGCAGAACCTGCGGACTTCCTACCTCCATCTCTTCGAGGTCAGAAGTTCCTCAAAGGTCTCAGAAGAACCCAGGGTCCCGATTGATGACAAATTTGCTTTTGAGTATCCTGGAGTAGTTGTAATGAATGTCAGCAAGTCCGATTTGGCTGAATGCCTGTTCTGCATTCTGATCATGAGCTGGTCTCTGCTGAATGAAGAGGTTCTCTGTTGATGTTGTCTCTGGTCGAACTCATTCGTGTCGTTATCGATCGTAGATTCAACTAAGTTGGACACACGACTATTGTACAGGTGTTGCGATTAATTAAGATTTTTTATGAAAGGATGTTACTGGGGGCCATGCATGTGGGATTATTTCTGCTGAAGAGGTTGCGATTGAAGGCTAGAAAATGGTAGAGAGTACTCTCTAGTTACACGAGTCAAAAATCTTCCTGCACATGCTCGCGTCGGTGCGAAGGATCGGGCTAGAGTTTTCTTTGGGTGTCTGCTTAGATTCAGATTGTGCTTTGTATTAAGAAGGGCATGCAGTCAGGAACAAGAAGATTTTCTTGCCAAACTAACGAAATGGAAAACTCCGTGTCATAACTTGTGTGTGGAGACATAATCTACCAGAGCCACTCGTACAGAATGATTTACTTGTCTCGTAGTAAATAGTTGGCAATAGACTATTCAGCTCAGATTTCAATTTGCAATTGAAACAATCAAGCATGGGTGAACACGTGAGCTTGGGATGGTCGCTACCTCTCAGCTTGTTTGCCAGAGACGACTTTTCTTTTCTCTTGCACTTCGGGAATATTTTGTCAGCTCAGAAAGCAAGGCTGTCGACTGTTTCTTTTAGGGTGACAAATTTGGTTTGTATGGATATGCTGGGCAACTCAATATCATGTGGGCATCTCAATTTTGGATGTTGTAATTAAAATCAGAAGTAGCTAGTTTAATGTGGTTTGACAAATTTGGGTTGTCGATAGAATGACACTATGTTAAGTGTAGTTCTTCAATCTTAAGAGATTTTTGGTGTATTGTAGCTTTGTAGGTGGGCAATGTAGGTGGGTATTGTGGCCTTAGTTTGATGTCCTCATTTGTATTGTTGCATTTGTATTTGCAAGGACAATTCGTATGTGTTTCCACAATCTCTTTGCAATGCTAAACATTGTTACATTTTATTTTATTTATTTATTTATTTTTTTAAACTCATCATCATTTTTATTCTATGGTAAAACAATTTGCACAAATTAACATAATCATCTTTTGTTCTCTTCGTATTGGAGCTTGTTGTTATGCTTGTCCTACCCTCACCTTAATCTTACTTTTTTGTGTGTCATATTGTAAATTCTATACTAATTATTAAAAAATTATCAATTGTTATTATAAAGATTGTTTGAACAATATACATACAGTAAGCAAAACAATTGGTAAGGATTTTTTTTATATTTATATATTTACTTTTTGTTTACCAACTTTGTAGAAATATTCACAAATAATGTATATTGAAGATTGTATTTATTTAGATTAATAACAAACTAATATTTATATTTATTTTAATACTATACATGTAACTTCCAAAAAATGTATATTAAAATTATTTTTGTTAACATCCACAAGAAATTATTATTATTTTCAAATAATAGTATCTAATAATTTTCTATATTTAATGTGATATTTGTATATACTTTAAGAAGTCTAATTTATAAATATTTTATTATACATTTCAAGAAAAAAATCAAATTTTTATTAAGTAAGTATATATTATATATAATGATTTGTACAAATTGAATTTTTTTACATGAAATTAAATTTTATATTTTGGAATGTATTTTATTGCTAAAAATTTGGTGGGATGCATCAAATCTTGTATGTGCAATGTTATTTTGAGTTTCAATCACATTTCGTGGATTTTTCTGTATTAATGTAACATTTATAAAATAATTTTAGCTGTATTTTATTCTTATTGTTTCCATTGTAATTTTAGGAACTTATACTCCTAAAAATAGTATGTTATAAGACTATGGTCAATAAAACTTTAATGTTTATTTATGCAAATGAAGACACAAATAATAGTATTATGGCTTTTTGTGTTGTATCAAAAAAGGTGGTTTAGAAAATACAAAAATAATTTTAAAAAAAATAAATAATTGATTTGTGTGACGTTTAATAATATCTCTGACACGTTCATAGAGGACCAAAAGTATAATGGTTGTGAAGCCAGCAAAAGTCGATTCCATAGTTGAAGAAAATATCTCAAAGCTTTATTGAAGATAATATTTTAAATCCAATATCTTTGTACAACTTAAAAAATATTAATACTTAAATTTTATAAGCTTTTACACATTCTTATGTGATTTTGGATCTTTTTTGTATGGATTATGTATGTAGCTTTTGTGAAACATGCCATATAAGGCAATTTGTGCAAATTTTATTTTAAAAAAATTTATTTTAATTTACTTTTTGCTAACACTAACAATTATGTTGTGAAATTGTCATATTATAACACTAATAGATTTACAATGTTACAAAATTAAGAGATTTAGAAGCTATTGTAAGATATTGAACTCTAAGCAAAATTAGTAGTTTTAAAGATGATAGTAAAAAAATGAGAATAATATCATAAGTAAATAAGAAGACTAAACCACTAATATTAAAGCATAAAAAGATTATATATTCGAAAACAAAGATGAATGAAATTGTGAAAACATTGTTCAATTTCTTGACTGTGAAAATCTACCAATGGCATAATTCTTCACAATAATTTTTAGTAGAATATACAATAAAGCAAAGATATTACAAATTAAAAATACTATCTATTTGATTTATGACAACATAATTTTAAAGCTCCGAATAGAGAATCTAAGAACATTTAAATATATATATATATATATATATATATGTTATGCAAAGATTTATTTGCAAAAAAAACACATAACTATTCATATAAATGCACAGTAATAAAAATAATGTTTATAAAATAGTGATATGTGTATTTTAAACTATAAAATTATTTAGGGAATATTTTATGAATTTTTTACTGCATATTTTATCAATCATATTTTTATAAAAATCATATAGTCTATTTAAATTTTTACCTTTGATGGTTCATCCATTACAATCAACTCTACAATATTGTCTTGGAGAATACACCAAGTTTTAAGGAGAGTGGCTTCCGCTTTCCTGTTGAAGAATTACCATTGTAATTTCATCCTTCATGTACTTTTAGTACATAATAATCAAAAAAATCAAATGCTATGAGAATCAGTTACGTATTTTATTTTATTTTTGATTGTCTCAAGGAAGCAATTTGTAAATTGATGTATTTTTATAGAAAATGTTATGGTAACGACTCTAAATTATTGAAAGGTAGCCTGCTTGCACTAGAGAAATTTTGGAAAGTGTTCCAATAAGTTTGGTGGTTTGAATCTCAATTGTAAAATCCACCCATGACTTGTAAAAAACTCGCTCAAGATTCTTCACCCTTGCCATATTAAAAAAGTAAAGAAGAAGAAAAAAAGTGCCGAAATTCTACAGTATACTCCAGAAAACAAAAAAGAAGGGAAAGTAAAAGGGGCACAAGGAAGGATGGCACAGCGGAGGAGGATGGATGGAAAGGTGAAGAGACGAGAGAAGGAAGGAGGAAATGAATGAATGAATGAATGAATGAATGGGGGGCACACCCCCCCTACCCCGCGGTGATAGGGAGGTGTGCAGGTGCCCCTACTCTACTCTTCTCTTCTCTCCTCTGTGTGTGTGTGTGTTTACCACCATAAGCTAGATAGATAGATAGATAAATAGATATGTATCTGTATGTATGTATGTATGTATGTATGTACTGCTGCTGCACTAGTACTTGTAGTACTGCGTCATGCAACTAAACTTACACCGAACTAACTGAACTGAACTAGCTCCGCCCCGCTTTTTCCCTTCCCTTCCTCCTTCCTCCCCCGTTCCCCTTTGCTTGTTTGCTTCCGTGCTCCTCCTCCTCCACTCTTCCTTCCTTCCTTCCCTCCCACTACTAGTAGTAATAGTAGTTCACTACTACTGCTACATCCTCTCCCTCCCTCTCTACCACCATTACTACTACTCGCCTCCCTTCTCTTCTATCACTCCCTCCCTCCCTCTCCCTCCTGCTCGGTGCTGGATGAACGCACTGCTGCTCCCGCCCCACTTCCCTTGGCTTCCTTCACTTGCCGAGCCTGGCTCCTCCTTCCTCCACTACTGCTCCGTTGTTGCAGCAGCAGCAGGTGATCGCAACCGGGCCAGCCCAGCCGTGCGGTGACATCCGGCGTTGGTTCGATTGTTCGTTTGTTCGTTGGTGGCAGTGGTGGTACCACCACCACCGGGACATGACCTGGATGACCGGGTGCTGCTCAGAATGTTCCCCCCCTGCGGAGCTCGTACCGACATGTAAGGAGGAGGAGGCGAGGTGGCGTGGCCTGGAGTCAACGCTCTCCAATTCGGCTTCGTCGTGGAGGTTGAGATTCGTTCCCTGTGGCAATTGCGGGTTAATTTGGCAAGCGCGGTGCGTCGCCGGACGGGTTTCGTGCGGGCTGGCCCAAGCTGCCGCTGGGTCGCGGTTTTAGGGGTTTTGAGGTGGCATGAGAGATGCTACGGGGCAACTTCGGTAGAGAGGAATTGAGCCTTGGGGCCACGATTGTGTGTGTGGGTGTGGCGACGGAGGTTTTGCGCCGCGCGGAGGAGGACTCGTTTGGCAGCAGGTTTTGAGGGAGACGGTGGGTAGAAGCGAGAGAGTGAGAGAGCGAGAGCGAGAGAGAGAGTGAGGAAGGGCAGGAAAGTTGAGGCTATGGGGGCTTTGTGTTGCTGCCTCAGCTCAGACGCCTTCGAAGACTACCTGCCGTATCAGAACGGGACGTTCATCCAAGATTATTTTTGTTTTCGATGCTGCTTGCCCTGGTTCTCCAACACGGTATTTTCTCCCTCCGGGTTTTTGCCACCGTCTTTTTGAAGCCAGTCGTGATTATGTCTTATTGTCGATTTCGGAGGCATAAACTTCCACGGATTCCTGGAGTTGCCACGAGGTTCTTTACATGCTCTACACTTTGCAAGTCGCTTGTTGACGCACTCAGGGTTTGAGGTAGCGGGAAAATTACCCGCAATCATCCGTAATTTGTTTGGAGAATTGTTCATTCTTGTTGAAAAGAGTTCCTTGGTATGTGTGTGTCTGTATACTCGGCTTTGTTTTGGCGAATGTTGCCATTCCGTTTCATTCTTAAAAGCATTAATTCTGTTGGTTTTGTCCCATTTGAAATGCCTCAATTGCTTAGGTTGTAGCGTCAAAGTAAATTTTAGGGTTGACTGTAAGTTCTGTTGCTGGTTGCTGGATTCCCGTAACGCCTGCCTATGGGCGGACATGCCTTGGGCTGAACGCCAAAAACCATCATCTAGTCGTGGTAGATCATTGGTCACTTTCTAACTTTGGAAGTGAGTGCTTGTTTTATTCGCATGACATTCTGAACCTTGTGATGGACGTGGTACTGCAGCGTTACAGTACAGATTTTGGTGAAGTAGACCACCAGGATACTATATTTTCGAGACAAGTGTCGACGTCGGGCGGTGCAGGAACTGTAGGTGGCAGCAACTTAGAGCCTACCATTCCCGACGTCTTCCAAGCACCTCCAACGCCTTTGCCTTACGACACGGACCCGCGCTACCCACGTATCAACCGTGATGGCCTCTCACGGCGGGATAAGAGTGGAATGAGCCACCTGAATCCTGGGGGAGGGCCAACCCTGCGACCCAACAACTCTGACGCCGGGGGCGGCACAGCTCTGCAACGAGTAGACTATGTGAATAGCGTAGGAGTTGACGTCGAGGATGCAGAAAGTCGGGGATTGATGAAGCCGGTTGGCTTGGGGGAAAGGAACCCACTTTCTTCGAAGCCTTTCCCGAGAGTTGAGTCTGCCCTCTCAATGCTGGACGACGACGATGTCTGCCCCACCTGTCTTGATGGTATTTATCTGTCTTCCTCCAACATCATTGTGCTCTGAATGTTCCTTGAATGTTAATCAACTTTCCATGTTTTCCCAGAGCCACTACTATTGTATAGAGAGTCTCAGAAAGAGTTTGCGGTCTTGTAGGGTACACTGAGGAGAATCCTAGGATAACCACTGGTTGCGGCCACAACTTTCATCTCGCTTGCATTTACGAATGGATGGAGCGCAGCAATCGCTGCCCTATTTGTGACAAGGTAATCACTCGATATCCATAAATCTATTCTCTCCAATCAAATTGTCGTACTGAGTCACCAATGGGGTTTGTTTATGGTCATTCCACGCCTTAATCGAGATCCTTGTCTGGCAGCGAGGATTTGCTCATGTGTCCAGAATGTGAGTGCTTGTATGATTCTAAATCTTTTCTTCAGACGAATAAATTATGACTCGCTTGATATGGCACTGCCTTTACTCTTCAATTTTATAAAGTATTTTAGAATTTTATCTGCTGTCAAGTCCGTATCTGCTCATCGAAAAGGAATGATTTTTTACAAAATAAATTATCGATGCAATGACTGCAGGAAATGATTTTCAGTGAGAGTCTCTAGGCTCTAGGTTGGTGGGGAATTGCACCCATCACAGGGATTTTCTGAAAGCCTAACCGAATGGAGAAGGAAGTTCGTCCACGATTGCTACTGTGCACAACAGTGAGCTCATTGGTGAGCACATTTGTGAGCACATTTTTATCTGTAGGTAGCGAAGTTGTGCAGAAAGGTTTAGGAAAGTTAGGGCCAGGATTTTCTGGTGCATTCAATAATTGTATATATTTTTGCATGGTTTTTGAATCTCATCTTCATATATTTTTCAGTTAAGGAATTTTTCAGTGCATACTTGTCTGTATGCTATGTTTGGGTACCCACACCTTGTATCAGCGTCATACTTTGATGCACTACTCTGTTGTCATTATTATAGTAAATACGTGTATGTTTGTATGTGTACATGGGTGCACTAGCAGCCAATGGGGTATAGAATGATCATGGTGGCTTCCTTGTTCAAGTTTTCCAAGCATCAGTAATGGAAATCCTAGCGGACCAAAGGCCACATGGGTTATTAAAAAGTAAGAAAAAGTGATATTATGCTATTCTATCCCGTACCATATCTATTCTGTATCAAATATCATTTCAATATTAATAGGTGCAGGACTATTTGTATCTACTGGTTTAATCTATAAACGAAAAAGTCCTCAAGAGAGATTATTTCAATGAATGAACAGTTAAGGAAGATGGTAGATAGTAATGCAATGTTCAGAGGTTGAGTGATGTAGTGTAATCGATGTACATAAATAAAATTAGTTTGGTTTGTCATGATATTTAAAACCTTCTTTCAAGCTAAAAGAATGTAAGAAGGCTTCTATTAGTGGTTAATTTGCTACTTCAAAAAATTGTTGATTCAATGTTGTGGTTACAGGCGTTGTTCATCAATTTTATCTTTCTAGAAATATCGACACAGAAATCAGCTTATGGATGTGGAGACAATGTTTTAGATGTAATTTTAAATTTTAATTATAATCATTTTCCTTGTTCATTAAATTAGTGTTCAGTAAGCTTTGAATTAGAATATAATAAAAAGTGTTGGATTTTCAAGCGATTGAAATGCAATATTATTGTAAGAAACCTAGTCATATGTAGAATCAAGCACAACTAAGTTGGTTTTTCATAAATTTCAAAAAACGCATTATTAGGCAGTATGTATTCACAGGTTCTCCAAACTTACATCAACAAGTGATTTCCCTGAATTACAAAACCAATTCTATATGTTTTAAAAAATTATATTATAGTTGATGTACTACAAAATTCATTGACGACTTGGATAGTATTGTAATAACAGATAATGTATATACAAAAATATATTTTATCCACAAATGATGTCATTATATTGAAGCTATTTGTTAGTGTTGTTTGGATATATTTATGTGTGTTTTTTTTTGTTTTTCACATTATGAATTTCATTGATTTAAAATTGTGTGATTAGAATTCAATGCATGGGTTTATTGTATATATATACATATATATATACTTACCAAATAGTGGAAACCCGTGCCATTGGTCACAAAAAAGTTGTAAAATTTAAATTTATGGTTGCTAAGTCAAATATTGACTAAAAGAAATGTTAATAATATAAAATATGAGTTAAAATGATTAAAAAAATAATGTGGTTGGAAATTGAAAAAACTACCATGTATGTTTATTTATATATATATATATATATATATATGAATTGATTTTGATTTTGTTTTTGACATTGTATCCTTTGATATTATTACAGAATACAATTGAAAAAATTTTCTTGATTTTTTTCTTAAATCTTAAGTCAATCACCTATTGTAATTGAAACAATTTATCTTGAAATTAAAAATTAACAAAAAAACTCAGCGCCAATTCATTTTATAAAATTTATTTAAATTACATTTTTTTTTCTTAGAACACATCTGTAAAAATTTTTAAAAAACTTTTACAGCATATAGTAGTAATTAAGCTAATCTTACATTGGAAATACAATGCAAAAAGAAAAAATAACTTAAATTCAACATGGTTCAAAAACATACTCACACAATCAATAATTTTAATATACCTTTCTATATATTGTGATAAAAAATGATCACAAACTTGATATTGTGATTTCCATAAAATTTTAAAGTAAACTGTAAATTAATATTTATGAAAAAAATTTAAAAAAAATTGTATAACTAAATATTACATGATATGAATGTCAAACTTATATTGTTTAAGACATTGATGAGAATAAAACAATGTAATGTTTTTTTTTACAAACCAGAATTGTTTAAAAACCTAAATGATATCCATTTTGTTCTAAGATTATTATATATTGAATCATGATCATTATGACAAATAGTAGTATTCTGTAAATTTCATCAAAAACTCAAGAAAATATTTTGTTGAACATCTCGTAATTGTTTTCTTTCATATTGTTTTAGAATGTGTTTTTTTCATAGTACTCTAAGATATTATAATATAGGGTTATATTGAATGTATTTTTAAACTTACATTGAATATAATCACGTGTACAAATAATTATTACAGATTACACCAGTACTTTTAGAACTCATAATTTATAATTCATGATACGTGAACATATTTTATTTATTAAGTGTCGATATTTTTACTAATATATCACAAATGTAATGACACTATGTGTAAGCACCTTGTTCAGCAGACAATTAGAAATCAGTAATTTAAAAAAATCCTTTAGAAGAATTTTCTTAGACATGTTATTTTAAAGATATATCTTTAATTTTTTTAAAAAACTTGATGAAAAATCTTTAGGAAATCAAGTAAAAATCATCATGTATTACTGTACTTGTGTATAGCAAGTTAGTTAATTAATTAGTTTTGTGTCATGATTTCTCAAAATTTTCTTGTTGCACTCTTGATTTTGTTGTAATATTATTGATCTTTCAAAATATTGTTATTTAATCTAAAAACATAAGTGAAATTGTAAACCAAAGAGTTCAAATAACATGTACAATTTTTTTCCTATACCCCCAACATTGTGTAAAAGTTTGGCTTTCCAGGTTTTTTTTTTGCGATTCTTCACAAAAAGCTTGAAAAAAAACCAAAAAGGTGTATAAATAACCAAAATCATGTCAGATGTGGATATAACTCTATGCAGGAATGTCCCATTTTAGTCTGAAACATACTCAATCGTGCTCAGTCGGCAAATCACGAGTAACTGGCACCAGGACGAGATCAGCATGTGGCAAAATCACACAGAAACAAGCACTCAGAGCCTATATAAACATATATATAACCATATATATACACATATGTTTACTTGTATAGTTTGTTATGGTAGCTTCACAAATTTATTGATGTTCAGAGGAGAAAAAAAAACAAGTACACGACATGAAGAAGTGCTAAGAAATGCTGAAGAAAATTTGGGTTGAGTCCTTCATAGTGCTCTCGAACTGAGACCTGCAGGCACCGCGTCGTGGAAGCAATCGAGAATTCACTCGCTAGTACACTAAATGATTTGATTTGGAAATGTAATGCAATGAAATGAGATGAACGTCCACGAGGAAGAACACGGTACACAATCAATCAATCAATCAATCAATCAATCAATCAACCGATCGATCTATCGGTCGATGGACCCGTCTAGTTTTTGGAGTAGACGATCTTTGCACTGGTGAGATTGAATCCTGCCTCGCCCGCGATGAATGGCGGCGCCGCATTCTCGCCCACCATTGTAATCACAATCTCCGTGAGATTTGCTCTGCCCATGACTTCTAGCTTGCGCCTGATTCCGAACCGGAACGTGAGTTCAGGTTGTAGATCGGGCGACATGCCGGGATGCGGGAACGAGAACATGTTGCCGATGAATTCTAGGCACCCGATGGAGGTGGTCTCGTACGTGGAGTTGGGCAGGAACACGAAGATGTTCTGAAGATGGCGCTGGTGCCAGTCCAATTTCCCCTTCAGCTCCAGCAATTCCTCGCCGTGCAGTTCTGACCTGTATGGTTCCCTCTTCAGTTTGAATGTCGTTGGAGCCGACTTCACGAACAAGAAGCCATTGAACGCGGGGGTGGCCGCGATCAGAGCATCGTCGTCTGCTGCTGTCGCATTCGGGTTGCAATGTTTCCACTGAGGACCGGCAGCTTTCGAGACTGCTCCATTCTCCACCCAGTCGGCTGATGAATTCGTGTACTTGTACCGCAATAAGTCGAGATCTAGAGCTTGCTTCACGCAGACGGACACTTGCTCGCCATCCTCGTCGTAGAACGTGAATTCCGTGTTGAGGTAATCGGGATCCGAGATGTCCTTGCGGTATTTGCCGGGGAGCGTCTTCCACATCTCCCACAGGCGATCCACGTTGGCGTGGTGAGAGAAGAAGATGGGGTCGGAGGCGGAGTCCTTGTTGGTGGACATCTTGATTACGTTGGTCCAGATGTGGACGGGCCCGTGTGGCCTCGCTTCCAGGGTGCCCATGCCCACGCCGCCGTAGTCTCCGAACCTATAGGGTGCCCCGTGGAATGTCAAGGGTGTTGGCCCGCCGGACAAAAATTGTGTCCAGAGCAAGTGAGCGTTTTCGAGGCGAACCGCTTCGGGGTTCTTTGGGATGCATGGAATTCCGACCACGTCTTGGAATTCGACCAAGCGGGGGGGAACGGATTGAGTAGCGCATGCGTTGCGCAGAGGGTCAAACAATGGCGATGTCTTGTTGATGGGATTTGCGAAGTAGGTGTTATTGTCCTGGTAGACTTTGGGGAAGATGTTAGGGAGGGGGTTTTGCGTGCTGTCCTGGTTATCCCAGTTCCAGTATGGCAGAGCGAATGTGTCGTCGCCGATGAGCTTGGCGAGGATTCTCTCGTGGAAGTAGAGGTACAAGCGATGCCATGGGAGGAACAGCCAGGTCTGGTGAATTTCCAGAGGGTACTCGTTCTCCGGGAAGTGGAGATGATTGTTGCAGTAAGCGCAGTGGAGACGGTACTGAGCTGTGAATGACCTTCCATCTGTCTCAGGTAGTGCTCGCATCAGCTCCACCGCTTTCTGGTACTTGGCAATGTAGGCGTCGTCCACCAAGTGTGCAGCCTGGCGGACTCGCATCGGCAGCCTGGGTTTGAAGTCGAATTTTTTGACGGGGCCGGGGGGAGCAGGCAGGGTGCAGCATCCCTCCGTAGAATTGAAAGCATAACTGCACAGCTTCAAATCCGGTGCTGGGAAGGGCTTTCCTTCAGTAGGGGCGATCAGGTAGATAACAAACACTGTGGCAAGTACGCCACAGAGCGAAGCAATCCTGGAGGCCATCCTTCAAATCTCAATCGCGCTCGTATTGTTACTCAACGTCGAAGCTCCTTCTACCGAGCTCTTGGATCCTGAAAACCACGTCGCAAGGTCATTAATTTGGACGACGACCCCCGCTGATCCGATTTCGGAGAATTACCATTATGATAAAAGAGTCCTCCACGACAACTCATACAGTCTGTTAACGTTTTGCGAAGACAAGTTGTGATCTTTTTGTACAACAGAAACGACACTAACTACAGCTGGTCTAAACTCTCACCAGTGCAAATTTTAGTAAGGAAAACAATTATTAATCAAATGTTCAAAAACCTAATTTAAAAAATCTAAAAGCTGCAGCTGACATCCACTTGGTCCGAGTGTCCATCATTCGACAAATAAAAATCCTGCAGTGCAAAACCGAAAGAAAAGCAGAGCTCACCTCCCCAAATCCTTGCTAGCCCTGAGGTCTATTCAACATTTCGCTGGTTAAATTGCCGACCTCACATCTGAAATGCTTCAGAATCGATTACCATCGTCCAGTTCGGCACTAAGGTTCTGCATGACCAAGAAAGAGAAACAGAACATGGGCATCAAGTTGTCGCTCATCAAGAGATTGCCTTACATCTGGAACGTACAATTTCTCGTGGGTAACCTCGTGACCAAGCTACACTGATTTCCTTTTCCCTATCCTACTCTACCAAAAAACACAACCAAACAAACAAACAAACGAGCACACCATCCGATTACACAGGAACCAGGTCTAAATTCAAGAGCAAACTTATCGGGCATAAGAATTACACAGCGAAGTTTTCTATTAGATATATCGGTTAACCATCACAACAAACGTTCATTCCAACTCACACCCAGCTCTGCCAAACTGATCGACTCAAGTCGACGCTCTGGCCGCAGAGGACACCAGGGACATCGACACTTATCGATGGAGCTGCCCTAACCCCTCATGTCTAAGTTAAAATAATGCAGTAAAACTTGTCCGAGTTTGTCCGAACTACTTGCCTGTAACTGATTAGAAGAAGCGGAATGCTTGGTACCTGAAGGACAACTTGATCGACGAGAGCGGAGTTTGCGAGTACCGGGAGCACGCTGACGCTACTCTGCGGCTGCTTTTCGCGATCTGAGTGTTATCGATCCCAACTGAGGATGGAACAAGTTATATCCGAATGGGAAACCAGTAAGCTGGAAGCGAAGCCACAACTGTGCCAATCATGCACTGATCTCCGAGAAAGCTGCTCACAAGGTCCCTTCAAAGCCAAAGCCAAATTCAAGGTTCGCTCCAGCACTTCATCCTTGACTTCGCCACTAGAAATTCACTCTTTCCAAGTCTTGTCAGAACAGTTGTTGCAAAGTTCGATAGTCGGAAGGATTAATCTTCAAGCTTTCGGAGCTTCGCCAATGAAGTTTTTTTCTCGTAACTTCCTAACAGCAAGCAAAAACATTATTGACGGAGTCTGGGTAGAAACATGTGGCCGCAAACACTTACACACGCACGCACACACACACTAGTCAACCATAGTGTTCACTTGTTTAAAACAAATGACTTTGCAAGACTGCTGATAAAATCTCTACACATTGTGTGAATGAGCTGGATTTACGGATAAACCGATAACTTTCCACATGATCCCTTCTTAAAATGTATGTGCATGAATTGTTCAGTTTCATCAAGAGTTTTAAGTTGTATGGGTAAGAAAAGTTGGAAGCTCCACAGCGCTCCTCCTCAATGATTTCAGGTTATATTTTCTTTTTGTCTTTTTTCTTCCTGATACATTTATTTTAATATCTATACAATTTTTCAACCCTTTTCTGAATTATCCAAAATCACACGCCTTTCAATGTACAGGAAATCGGGCTACAAATGACCGTACCACTTCACGTGGGATCCACTCCGGAGGGAAATTATTCCATTGTACGACATGCTGACATCTGTCAACAAGCAAAAAAAAACGAAAAATCCAAAGTTTCTCCTCGTGACTGTATCCGTGCGAAAAATGGTATCAAGCCAACCAATATTTTACAACGCACATCGCACAAAAGAGATGCCCAAATCCTAAAAACATATATGTATATATTTAAGAACCTTATTCTTGATGAGTCATGTCGTTTTTCAAAGTTTTAGCCCTTTTAAATTAAACAGTTCAGAACACGATCAAAATATAAAAATTGGGAATGAACATTATATGTTTGTCGGCTAAATAAAACCCATGCTAATCACAAAAATATCGACAAAATAAAATAAAAATTTTGCAAAATATTAAATTGTGAAACGAGTAGGGAAAGTCCGTTGACCTTGGAGATTTCTGTGTAAACTTGCAAAGGGCTCCGACCTTTTCAACGCCCAAGTCAAACATGGAATCTGCGACGAAGCTGACCACTCGCCACTTAAAGGGCGAAGTCGTTGCTCCCATTCACAGAAAATTCCCGGAATTCGATGCCAATAATGGGTCAACCACACAAGTCAACCCTCGTGGTCAACGCACTTATTGGCCATTGCGTTTGTTGCGCACGCGTTCCCCAAGGGTCTTGTTGACACCCGTGCTTGTTCCCAATGGTTGTTCCCAAGGGCCCTGCCCATTTAGATTATGTCTAGTGATTTATTTAAGGGGTTTAATTTTCAGTAGCGAATAATTGGTAAGCAACGGAACTTTGCCTCTAATTCCTAATTTAATGAAAGGGTTGGGAATAGCGTTCGCTAAGTTTTTCTATTGGTTTTTGTAACGTTACGAAATAATCAAAGTAAGAAGAAAGATTTTTTTGAGGTAATGGTTTGAAGCAAAAACAAACAATAAATTATTACTTAGTATGGCTCAATTATTTCTCTGTGTACATTGGATTCATGCACCATGTTTGTTTTTTTATTTGATAGAATCTTTTGTGATTTCTATTGCAGTTGGGGCAGTGCTTTTTAGAGTTTCTGAATCTATTATAGTGAATTGTTTTTCCTTTAATTCATGCTCCAATCATAAGAATAAAGAATAGGAAGAAGCAGTTAGAAAACAACATTTCATACACCTTATTGTGTCACGGCTGTAGATTATTTTATTCATTGGGAGTTATTGAACTGTGTTTCACAAGCATATGATTTTACTTTGAAAGTATTAGCTCTGTTTTTAGTTCAACACCCAATTAACACCATAAATATCTTTCATCTGAGAAAAAAATGATCAGAAAGAGGGTTATTTTGTAATTTAGTTTTTAGTAGATATCACTAAATCATGTATGAATACAGGAATTTTTTTTCTTCATATATATTTTTATAAAATTAAATAGTCAATCTTAATTTATTTATTGTGCACATGGTATTTCCTTGTCATTTTCCAAAATGTCGAGAATAAGAATAATGTTTTTTAAAAAGATGTAAAATTTCATAAGTAATCATGTTCTGTTATCGACTTTAAAATAGTTTTTACAAAATTTACATATTTTGCATTCATACATGTATATATATATTTTACCGCATTGTTGTTGTATGAGAATTTAAGAGATGTAATACCTAACTTTCTTTCACTAATATCTACCAGCTGTAAGTTTCACTTTAAGTTTGGACTTGCTTCTTTGAAGTTGTGGAAATTATTTTAGAGAAAATAAATATTACTCTCTAAATTTTTAAAATAAATTAAAAAGTTAATAAAAGAAATATTTTAGCACAAATCTCACACTTATAATTAAACTGATGATATTTGAAAAAAAAAAAAAAAAAAAAAAAAAGGTAGAAAAAGTTTACTGAAATTATAAGTTGACAAGTTACTTAATTGTTTTTTTATTTAAAGTATACAGATTATAAAATAAAAATACATCTTTATTTTATTATATTATACATTTATACTAGTAGAAACTTGTGCTGTTGGCCACAAAAAAGGTGTAAAAGTTTAAAACTAACAATGCAATTATCCAACAACAACAACTATCAAAACCTTCTGCAAAATACGATCATCTCCCACCTCATTAATTGTGCCACATCGAATATAGAAAAAGCAAGCAAATTCTTGCCAAATACAACAAATGATGAGATAGTAGGTGAATATGGAAACATTATGTGATAAAGATATCTCTATTTTTCTACCCATGGTTTTTTAGATCCCATTTAGCTACTACCACCGAAGAAGATATTCATAAATAAGCCTCAACATTGTTCCTTCAACAACACAGTAATACAAATACTCTCCACTTGGCATGACAACCATGAAATTCCATGCTTCCTCTTCCATACATCAATGCTATTGTTGTTGACTAATTTGAAGAGAATTAAGAATTGACGAAGTTAGGACCATTGATCATGATAGAACTCTATGTTCATTGGATCCTTAGAGTCACCGCAGCATCAGCTGCCTGCCTCTGAAAGAAAAACATAGTTTTT